AGAGGCCATTGTGAGTGCCCTGCAGGGAGCCAGACAGTGGTGGAGTTGGATGAGGTAGAGGCCATGGGCTGTGAGAGGAGAACAGTCCCTAATCCCTGATCTCCAGTGGGCCATCCAAGCTCTGTGCCTGGAAGAAAGGATTATTTTATTATGCCTTCTGGCTCCATGATCAGACATCAGGAGGGAAAAGTGAAGAGATCACAAGATGGAGAATCCTAGGAAAGCTGGGGAATGGTGTCACTGGGTAGTTGGGTATGGAATTCTCTAGAAGCTTCCTCATCCTGGCATGTGGTACCAGGGTAGAGGACCCCAAAACTGTGCAGGAGTCCAGATTTGTGCCTTGACCAGACTGCATTCCTTCATTGAAGACCTTGAAGCTTAGGAGCCAAAAGCCCTAAAGCACTGACAGGCAGGGACCAGAGCCCTCCATGGGAAGCAGCCCCATGCAAGCATTGCACAGTTTCAAGTAGTTTTCAAAACACAAAACACAAAACACAAAACACAAAACACCCCTTATCCAAAGCTGTGCCTTTATCCTTTTTAGGTTACAAACATTGAAACATGGGCATTAGATTTCTTTTCTGTTTTTTAAAACAATTTTATTTAAGGAGAAAAAGAAAAAAAAAACAGAAAAAGGGTACAAGTTATACAGAATTTCAGAAAAAATAAACAGTGGGAAATCACTGTTAATATATTACATATTGTCATCTTAGAAATGGTTGTTCAAGTTACAAAATTAAAGCATATAAAGCAGACATTCAAACAGTGAGACTGCAAACAGTTCTGTTCAATGATCCAACAAAACTCAGTAATATGGTTATCTATCTTATACTCTTAAATATACATGCAGTTATATCCTTTGGAGCACTTTCTTTTCCTCTATTTTTTACAATGACAATTACACATTTTGGGTTTTATTATTCCCACAGTTCTTATTACTTTTTTTGAAGAGAATAAAACCAAATGTGACATAACAAAACAGAGTCAGTCACATCAAAAGGATGGACATAATACATAATGTAAAAACAGAATACAAGGTGATCAACAATGGTTACCATAATGCTTCTTGCTATCTTAAAAAGAATTGCCTATATCATCAGTTATAATAAAATTGAACAAAACAGTAAAGAACAAAACCAATAAAAGAAAAACATTGGAGACATTACAGGACTTCAAAAGAAGATAATAGTCAAACCAGAATGGGCATCATAGTGGATCTTATTGTCTTCACAGCTGTGGCCTATACTCTCAAACTTGGTACTATCAAGCAAGACAGAATAGAAGAAAATCAGTCAAAACAAGATGGTGAGAGCAATACAGGGTTTCAAATCAAGTTAATAGGAAATCAAAGTGGGTTACTATAATATATCCTATTTTTATTTATTTTTCCCTTAATTAAAAAGATAAAAATAAAAAAGTAAATAATAAAAAAAGGAGATTGAGATAAGAGAGGGCATAACAACAAAAAAGTTCAGGTCAAAACATAGCCATTTAAGCAAAATAGTGTTTCACCATAAGAAATCCCGACATAAAAGTAGTTACCATAGTGTCTCTTTCCTTGAAATCTTTGAGTGTTACTTCATATACTGTAGCATCAAACATATCAAGACAATGTAAAACCATTCAAGAGAATGACAGTATTACAGGGTATTTAGAACCAACTAACAGAAAATGAACAATGGTTTCTGTATAATCTGCTTGTCTATAAAAGTTTTTTGTTTATATTATCAAATATAATAAAATCCAATAAGATACAACATGTTAAGACTGATGGAGACAGAAGAACAAAAGCTTGATAGGACTTCGAAACAAGATGATATTAAATCAGCACTAGCTATTATGATGTCTTGTTTTCTTCAAAATAGCTGTTCCTACCATCCAACCTTCTCTGCCTCATTTCTGTTGAGCTCTTTTTCTGTCATTAGTTGTCAGTTTGTCTTCTTCATTTCGCTTTCTGCTCCATTCATTGTGGCCTCTCTGCCACTGTTTCTGGAATCTTGGTATTTCTCTTTTAGAATTTCCTGCAGTATTCTCTGTAGAGTTGAATTGGTGGTTGCAAATTCCCCTAGTTCCTCTTTATCCTGGAAGCACCTTGTTTTTCCATCAATTTCCAGGGATAGTTGTGCAGGGTATATCAATCTTGGCTGGAGATTATTATCTTTCAAAGCTTGAATTATTTCCCCCCATGCTCTTCGTGATTTGATGGTTTGTGCCGAGAAGTCTGCTGTAATTCTGATGGGTGTTCCCTTGTAAGTGATCTGTTTCTTGTCTCTGATGGCTTTTAATATTCTGTTCTTATATTGGATTTCTGGAATTTTGATTATTATTGCCTCAGTGTAGTTCTGTTTGGGTTGTAGGTGGCTGGGGTCCTGTATGCCTCATACATCTGAGTATCTTTACCTTTTGCTAAATTAGGGAAATTCTCCTGGATTATTTCTGTGAATAGCCTTTGTAGTTCATTTGTTTGAGTCCCTACTTCTTCCTTTATGTTCTTAATTCTTAAGTTATAGATTCTCTTATCATCTTCTAGCCTTTGTATTATTGCTGTTTGTTTCCTTATTATTTTTAAGAAGTTTTTGATTTCATGCTCCCACATTACAAATCTGTCCTCCAGTTCAGATAATCTATCCTTAGTTTCTTTCAAGCTGTTATGCCAGCTTTCAATAGAGTTTTTAGTTTCCTGGTAATCTCTTTGAACCTGCTTCATGTACTTATGTTTGCTCTATTTTCTCCATCAAACAATTCTCCCTTTTTTTCTGTTCTTCCATTCCACCACCTGTTTTTTCTTGGGTGGTACTTAGCATTTCTCTAACGATTCGACTTGTATCTTGCTTTACTTGGTTAAATACTGCACTTTTGAACTCATCTATGAGGTCCCGGAGATACTGCTTTATGTCTATTGGTGCCATGTCTGATATTGCATGTTTTTTCTCCTCATTCTCCTTTGCATTTACCTGTCCTGGATCAGTAATCTCAAGAGTAGGGGCTGAGGACCCTTTCTTGTTGCCTCCTCTTCTCATATTTTTTGTTCCTTCCATACAGGTGTATATAGCAGGCCCAGTTTCTTTCTTTGTCAGTTACAATTTGTTTAAATTGCGCCGGCTAGGAGTTCCCGCCCACTGCAGTGTACTAGGGAGACACAGACCAGGGTAGCGTATGTTGGGCCCGCCCCTCCAGGTTGACCTACTGAAGGCTTCACTGCTAGGGTGCAGCCCAGGTCCTGGGACCTGGTTTGGGCTAGCCTACTGGGTCTTAGTCCGTGGCTTTACCCAGGTCAAGTGCTCCCCACCAATCTTGAGAGAGGAATACGCAACTAAAAATCACTGCACCGTCCTGTTCCAGCTAGTCTGCCCAGTCCCAGAATGTCCTCTGTTGGAGCCTCCTTATCTATGGAGGGATCCCTGTTCCTCTTACTCACTGCAGGTCAGTGCAGGGCTCCCACCCTGTCCTCAACTCTGTGTGCCAATTCCCACTCGCAGAGCTTTGCCGATTCAGATGCAGCAGTGGCGGCAGGAAATTCAAATCCCGGTTTCCAGAGGTGCAGTTCCAACTTCGGTGCTGAGATTTTACCTGTTCCAGTCACAGCATCGGGATTACATTTCCAGTTGGTTTCTCTCAGCTTAGTTCATTCCTGGATAGGCTGGGTATATCTCCCCTTGCTTAGGACTCCTCACACCACACCATTCCTGGATTCTAAGCTGGCTATCTCAGAGAGCCTCCATAGCTACTGTTATCTATCTGCCATGTATTCCCGGAAGTCTCTTTTTCTGTTTTTTTTTTAGACAGGGTTTCACTTTGTAGTTCAGGCTGGCTTTGAACTCACTTTGTAGCCTAGGCTGACCTTGAACTCACACAATCCTCCTGCCTCAGCCTCCCAAGTGATGGGATTACAGGTGTGGGCCACCACACTGGTGCGTTACATTTTTAAGAGGAAGGTTTTTACTCATATCTTACTCTTGTGTACACAGAAGGATATGCAGCTGACAAAGTATTTCTAAAATCATTTCCCTGCATTAGTTGAAGCTTCTCATTCGCTTTGAAGGCATTACCTGTGAGGAGTCCCCTCCCCATAGCCCCTGTTGCCATGTCTCCAAGCACTGGCCTGCAGCAGGTCACAGAAGGCCGAGCCCAGGCCACTCCTCTGAGATTCAGGCCTTTGTCCTGTCTCAGAACTTGGGCAGGGCAGTGGCGGCTCTGACCAGCACAGTGGAGGTGACATGGTGTGACTTCTGAGCTGATGTCATAAAGAGCCCTTGTTTTTACCTTGTCTTTGCAAAAGTCTTCCCTTGGGGCTCCGAAGTGGCCACCACCCCTGATACTATCATACTCCAAGTCACCTGGAGGGGGTCAGGTGCAGGGCCTGCATGAACAGTCCCAGTGGAGCCCAGCTGTGGGGTCCTGCAGCCTGGGTGTCCCACATCAGGTGATGAAGCCTCCAGAGAACTGTGTGAAACCCTGCCATTCAAGTCCCATCCTGCTCCCCAGCCTTCCCAGGGTGCCCATTATGGGGCTTCTGCACTCTGCTTCCTGAGGGTCTGGCCATGGAGTTTGGGACACAATAAAATGGTCCTGGTTTCAGATCACTGAGGTTGGGTGGCCTGTAATGGGACAGGGATAAGAGTGTCACAGGAGATCTGGGCACAGGGCACAGGGCACAGGGCATAGTCTCCACCTTGTCCAGCTCTGCATTGCCTGGTTAGTACCAGGGTGGACACAGTGGCCCTCCTCACTGCCTCCAAGTCTCTGAAGGAGATGTCACCCACAGCGACATCCTGATCTCAGCCAGCACTGCTGCCCTTTGTTGGTTAGCAGGCTCCTGAGGGCTGGGGAGAGGGACAGGAAGGCCGCATATCATACCATGACACACAGATCCTATGACCTCCCAACTTGATGCTGTCAACATGCGAGTCCCTGGGCAGAGCTGCAGGTCACAAAGTCACCATGTCAACCTTCCTGTCCAACATAGCTCCTGGGTATTCTGCCCCAGGGTGGGGGAAGGGCTTTGGAGACAGTGGCAGGACACCCAGGGCTGCTGTATCTTGGTCCCCTTGCTCTGAGAGGGAACCGGTGTGGGCACACTGGGCACTGGTGACAGAGCGCCAGGAGCTCAGTCCCTGGGCACAGGCAAGGTGGCTGGGCAGGAGGCCGGAGGTAGCTCATGCCTTCCCTACCTGGGCCCTGGGATAGGGTTCCAGGAGCAGAGAGGTCCCAGGGACAGCCAAGAAAATGGGGCGGCGTGGCCCTGGTGTGCTCTTCCCTGTGCACTTCCTCCCGTTCCTGTTGCTGTCTCCCTCCGTGGTCAGCACAGGGAGCCCCATGGAAGTTGATCTGGGCTTCGGATATTTAGAATCCGGGGTGCCAGGACACAGCTTGCACAAGAAGCAAGCAAAGGAGCAGACATGCCTGATTGGCTCTGACATCTACTTCGTCCTGGAAAAGTGAGTCGCCCTCCCCTCCTGCCTCCACCTGACCCGGCCCCAGTCACTGCAGGCAGGGTGGGGCCTCTGGGGGCATCCCTGTGACTGCAAGAGGACCAGCAGCCCCTGCGGTGCTCAGCCCCCTCACAGCCTCAGCGCCTTCCTTGTCTCCTGAAATGGCAGCTGTCACCGCAGGGGCTCCGGCTGGCTCTGTCTCTGTAGTGAGGTCCTGAGGGTCCCTCAGTCACTGGCCCCCAGGAGCCTCCTCCCAGCCCTGGGAGAAGCCCCAGCAGGGTTCTCTGGGGAGACACCACCTGTGGCCTCCGGGGGAGCGCTCGGCCAGGACCCTGCTCAGTGCCCTTTGCTCTGGCCTTGTTTTTCCTGTCACTCTGCAGACCTGGCACAGTCCCTGTATCCTCAGGGCTGTTGGGGGTTCTGCGTGGCCCTGGGGACGCTGGGCTGTCCCTGGGGCACCCACCAGCTGTCAGGGAGGGAGGCAGGGAGGTCTTGGTCTTGGAGAGGCGACCAGGTTCCATCTCAGCCCCTCCGGCTGGCTGGGTCAGGGGACCCAAGGGGAGCCTGGTGTAGCTCTCAGCAGGGGACGCCCTCGCTGGTCCCCAGCCCTCCTCCTGCAGCATCGTGTCCACTCCAATGCACAGCAGCCCAGGGGTCTCTGTGTGATGTCCTGGCGGATGGCAGGCTCCTAGGTGGCCAAGGTGCTTGGAGGACACTGGGGGTGACAAGATCTGGGCTCCTTGGCCTGGGCTCTTTCCACAGTGTCAAGTTGGCTGCACTCATGACCTCCTTCTCCGTGGGCACTGAGGGTGGAGGACACAGGCCCTGGCCCCAGTTCCTGAGTGAAATCAGTGACCTGAAGCCTCCGCTTGCTGGGGGAGAAGTCTCTTTGCTTCCAGCCCAGGCACTGGTGGAGACTTGGATTGCTTCTACCATTCGGTCATTGTGAACAGTGTTGCTATGACTACTGGAGAACGCGTGCCTGTTTGAGGTCATGCTTGCACTTCTGTGTGGCTTTACATGTTAACTCGTGATTGACCTTCGTGAGGAACCTGCAAAATGCTTGTGGGGGCATCTGCATCGCTTTCTGTGGCTACCAGCAGGCACCAGGGACCGACTTCTCTAGTTTCCCTGTGCTTTTTGGTAATATTCACCTGAATGGAGGTGAAGTCATTTTTCACTGTCGCTTTGAATCCATTTTTCTGGCAGCCTGGAGGGTAGTATAATGTTCCGTGTGGTCACTGTTCAGGTGCCTGCTTTGGGAAGGTGCTATTTGTATCCTCTGCCAGAGTTTCAGTTGTATCTGGATACTAATGCTTCGTCAGACTGACAGTTCATAAACATTCTCCGCCGTTCTGGATGAAATTCAGTGGTTTTTTGGGTACTTAACGATCACATCCATCACAGGGAATTTGTACCGGTACATTATAGATTTTGATCCTTCATTTTTTTCCCATTCTCTTCCTCTCCCTTAAGCTCCTCTTCCCCTCCTTATTCACAAAAGTCTTGTAGCTATTTTTTCTTTTTTGTTGTTTTTCTTTTCTGCTCCTTCATTTTTTTCTCTGCCCTCCCTAGTTCTCCATCTCATTTGAACATTTTCTTTTATTTCACAATATCTATTATATATTTGGGTCCTTATTTACACTTTTGGTTTCTCACACCAGAGAAATGATCCCATATTTACATGTGTGTATCCAATTTATTTCACTTAAGAATATGGTCTCAAGGTGCAACCATTTCCTTAGAAATAGCTCAGATTTATCCTTGTTTATGGCAGAGTAGCATTCCATTGCATAAAAAATTCCACAATATCTTTGTCCACTCATTGGTTGATGGGCATTTCGGCTACTTCCAAGATTTAGCTATTACAAAATGTGCTACTATAAACATAGCTGTGCATGTATTACTGCAGCATAATGTTTTTTTAATTTTAAAAACGAACAAAAAAGAAAAAATGATACAGAATTTCAAAAAAGGAAATAGGAAATTAACACTAGTTAATATAATGTTATCTTGAAAGTAGTTGTTCCAATTACAAAAAAAAACATGATATAAGACCCAAAATGCAGCAAAATGCTTTTAATTCTTTTGACAACATACCAAGAAGAGGAATAACTGGATCAAATGGAACCCTTAGTCTTAGCTTTTTGAGGAATCTCCACACTGATTTCCACAGTGGTTGCACCAGTCTACACTCCCACCCACAGTGGAGAAGAGCTCCTTTTCCCCACAGCCCCTCCAGCATTTGTTATTGGTTGATTTCTTGATAATAGCCATTCTTTCGGGGGTGAGGTGGAATCTGAGTGTTGTTTTGATTTGCATCTCTCAAATGAGCCAGTGATGTTGAACATTGTTTCATATGTTTATTTGCCATTTGTGTGTCTTCATCTGAGAGGTATCTATTCATTTCAATGCCCATTTTTGGACTGAGTCTTTACGTTTGGGATTTCTGATTTTTTTCAGTTCTTTATATACTCTAGATATTAGTCCTGTTTGAGGTACAGCTGGAAAACTGTTTCCCACTCTTTGGGTTTTCTTTGCACTCTGTTGGTGATTTCTTTTGCAGTGCAAAAGCTTTTTATAAGATGAGTTTCCAGTTGTTAATTTTTGTAATATTTCCTGAGCAATCAAGGTTTTGTTCCTAAAGTCTTTACCTACACCTATGTCTTCAAGAATTCTGCCTGTTCTCTCTTCCAGCAGATTTAGTGTTTCTCTTTCAATATTTAGATCTTCGATCCACTTTGATTTTATTTTCTTGCATGGTGAGAGATATGGGTCTAGGATGAAGTTAAGTTTTAAAATTGTTTTCTATTGTTACCTGTTTGACTACATCTTTTTAAGAGAGGGTAAATTTATTGGGAAAAGGATAAAAGAATAGGAACAGCTCCTGAGAGACAGGAGGGGTACCGGGTGGGCTGTCAATGAGCCTATTTCCCTGAGACAACTTTACAGAGCACAGTCATGAGGTGGGTACAACATGGGTCAAATCTATATGGGTCAAACCAATCTGATTATAATTGCTTGGCTAAAACTGACTCACTAGTAGCAAGGGCATGTGGGTGATATCATTAATCATTGTTGAAAATCTATGGTCTTGGTAGCCTTAGTCTTAGTGGATGAGATAAGATGCCCCTACTAATGACATAATGGTTCATTTATGTGGGAAATCTCAAAAGGATTGTATTAATAATCTCAAACTTCCAATTTTCACTTACAGAAGTATGCAAATCTAGCCATTGTGACTTTAATCTTCTTTAAATTCACCTCCAAATACAATTTGGATGTGTTCTTATCTTCTGAAGGGTTTAGCCCTGTCTGACTGCCTATATTTACACCCGGCTGAACTGTCCACAAAATTCCTACCTTTGATGAGGCATCCCTAACCGTGGTTAGTAATAAGAGACGTAGTTTCCATCTAGCGACTTTGAGCTGAGAAGTCTCAGTGTAGGAGAGAATGCAGTCAGGGGCCTTTCCAGACAGCTAACCTAATGGGTACTGGCTGTTAAGTCATGGTGCAGTTTAGCAGTTATGAAATCTCTTCAAAGGTCAATGTAGTGGATCCTGGGCAATGGAGTCCGGCATGATTGTCATTGGTTCAATCTGGTTTTGTCTGCATGATCACTTGGTTAGTTTTGCAAGAACAAATTTTGCAAGAAATTAAAGCATGTGCAATCAAAGCATAAACACTAGAATGGAGAGGCAGATGGGAGGGGAATGCCATATCTGTGTGATGCTCATAAGGAATTGGACTAGTGATTGTAATCAGTTGGCCCTTAGACCCATGTACTGAAAAATGTCAGATCCAAAAGTGACATTTCTTGTCATAAATCCCTCTAGTTGCAGTTGTAAGATGGAAAGTTTGGTTGTTGTTTTAGTTATTTTTCTCTCATTGCTGATACAAGATCCTCAACACAGGAAGTAAAGGTTTATTTAGCTCACAGTTTGTGGAGGTTTCAGTCCATAATCAGCTAGCTTTAAGGCAGGGTGGCCTGGCACTGGGCAGCACTTCAAGGCAGCAGCCAGAGCAGAAGTGGGGAACGAGCCTCTTCTCTTCCCTTGTATTGTTCACAGGCCACCCCTCCCTCCAGGGTGGGTGCAGCACTCACAAAATCTTTGTGCCCTCCTTTGCAAAGGATGAGGATATTTACAAAGTCAGGACTCTGCTCCCTGCTGAATTTCTCAGTTAAACTTCTAAACTTCTCAAGTTGACACAATGTATCAACCCTAATAGTCAGTTACCCACTTAGCTGGCAACTGCCAGAAGGGGTCAGCAATTGGAGCCCCTTTTTAGATGTAGCTTTTATTACTATAGTAATGTTTTCATACATCTTTTGATTATAGTCTTCAGCTAGGTGTTTAAGACCAAGTTCAAGTGAGATTTGTGTTGGTCAAGACTAGCTTCTTGCTGTCTATCAAGGTCAGTCTTAGTGGGTATTACCTTTTTTTGGAACCATGCACAGAGCCTCCAGCTGCTCTGTCAGGATGAGCTGCCAGAATGGGTTATGGTCTTGCTTGAATGAGCTGCTTTCTGTGAAAGGGTAGGAGACTTTCCCTCTTTGGTGATCTTTTTGGCTGTGCTCTGTACAGTACACAATTCTTGTCCTCTGGGTTCTAGAGTCTCTCCGCTCAGGAGGTTGGGTGACTCACCAAAGTTTCCTGCAGAAAATGTTCCCTCATATACTGGGTTCTTGTTGATCTTGGAGAGTAAGGGCTAAAATATTGGCCTTTTAGCCCAGTTATTTTTGTATTTCTAGTCTCCAAATTTCAGTTAGGAAACACCCAGGAAAGAAGACCATTGGTTAGGCTGGTGTTGCATTGGGAGCAGTGAGCTTAATTATTATAATCTTATCTGGGAATTAAACCCTTTGAGATATAAAATATAGTCAGAGATTATTATTTCTTACTAGTCATGGCTGTTTTAGAAGTTGAATTTCTGCAAAATGTTACCAGACACAATTATAAATTTTTACAGAGAAAATTTGAGATCAAGAGCCACATATAATATT